GGTGTTCTGTAGACTTGGTATTTGTTCATAAAGATCATACAGTAATTACCTTATCAAATGTAAATACTTTCTCATAGAAAATTTAATTATATTTTAATTTTCAAGTAAATATCAGTTCAGCTCATTCAAAGATTAAGAATTGTAATGAAATGTATTTCCCTAGAATAAAATCTTAAATCAGAATTTTCTAGTTATTAAATTACATGTACTTTTTATACGCACGTTATAAAAAAGATAAAAATATGAAGATGTGTATAGGGACGATTTAATCATCATTTATTGAGGGATTGTAACACAAATGGTCATTATAATGACTACTGATGTGACACATGTACTTTAGGTCAATATATGCAAGGTCAAGGTCACTAAAGATGGTGAAATATCCAGATTTTGTCTGGAGCATATCTCCTACATGTATGGAAAGAATTTTTATAATACTTTATGGAAAATGTTCAACTGGCACCATGATATGTATTGCTCCATGCATGATCCAGGTCTCCAGGTCAAAGGTCAAGGTCACACTTAGAGCTCATTGAAAAACGCTTGTCCGGAGCAAAACTTCTACATTCATAGGGGGGGTTTCAAATATAACTTGGCACAAATGTTCACCATTGTGAGGCTGAGTGTCGCATGCAAAATTCAGATCCCTGCGACCAAAGTCAAGGTTACACATAGAGGTCAAAGTTCAGATAAAAATTTGAAGATGGTTATAGGGAACCATTTAGTCCATCATTTTATTGATGGATTGTATGCACAAATGGTACTATCATGACTAACAAGGTGTTATCACATTTAAATTTAGGTTAATATTTTGCAAGGTCAAGGTCACTGGAGATGATTAAATATCCAGATGTTGTCCGGAGCATATTTTCTACATGCATGGAGGAATTTTAATGTTACTTTTATAGAATTGTTCACCACACCATGAGACGTAGTGCCTGCACAAAACCAAGTCTCTAGGTCAAAGGTGAAGGTCACAGTTAGAGCTCATAGAAAAACACTTGTCTGGAGCAAAACTTCTACATGCATAGAGGGATTTAATATAATTTGGCACAATGTTCATCATTGTGAGGCTGAGTGCCGTGCATAAAATTTCAGGTCCCTGCGACCAAGGTCAAGGTCACACATTCTGTGCATATCTTCCCATTGATTTGTTTTAAGGTTCATTTAACAACACAGTGCCAAGAATAAAAACTTGCTTGCTAGATAACACTTATCCATAATGCCCCCATCTCCATCTAAAGCTTTTTCGTAAACGGGCGTATTTTGTGACTATGGCACCCTTGTTTTTTTTAAAAAGCGTTTATTGGGAAGGGGGAGGAAAGGGGATGGAGGGGCAGGGAAAGAAAGAGTTAAGGCCTTAGCAAATTGATAGTTTCAGGCACTGACTTTTAAATCACATGTTACTTCTCTGGGATTGAATCTTCCTTGAGAAAGTAAATTCTCCCTCCTGTTCTGAGGTAGTAAATAACTATTCTTCAATTTTAACTACAGTTTTATAGTTATATAAAAAGGGACATTATAATTGTAACTTTTTTAAAAAGTTTTAAATATGGCCAGAAGTCACTGAAGTTTTAGGCTAAAAGTGATTTTGTGAAGTAAAGGAGGCTTGTTTTGTTTTTGTTTTGGTGTATCTATATTAAAGCACCTTTCTGTTCCTAAATTACATGTTACCCTTTACTCCTAAATTCTAAGTTACTGTGACATGTGACAATACATGTATACTGAGAAATCTTTTACCTAGAATTACAGTACAGATTTCACTTGTTAACTTGCTAATTCTACAAATGACTATTAACAATGTGAGTTTTAATTTAAAATGGTAGATATAATAAGAGGACATTGTATTGCCAGTCATTTGGTGATTTGATTGGCTACACAATTCACTACTGGCAATTCTCAAATTGAAGAACAATTATCTTATTTTTAAATTTTCTGAAAGTTTTAATACATTATTGAAGAGTTATTGGAATTTATAGCTAAAAAAAAAATGAACATGTAGAGCTATTATACTCACCCAGGTGTGACATGGGAGTCATACTTTAGTTAAGTTTTTGCAAGTTGGTATCTTCAAAACAACTGAAGAGAATCAGGTTTGAAACTTCACATACATATTTGATAGCATAATAGGAGGTCACTTTCAAAGGCCCATAACTCTAACTTGGATTTTGACAGAAATTTTGGCCCTTTTTGAACATTGAAAAATCTACATTATGCAGGCTCTTTGTTATCAAACACTGGGAATAGTTGATCATGCTGTCCTTTTGACAGCTCTTGTTTCTCAATAAAGGGTTGAATTGTGATTTAACGAATTAAGGACTAAATGAATACTAGAACCATATTGTCAAGGTCTGAATCACAAATATCTGAGTAATTGACTAATTTTTACAGCCCTTATATAATTGTCACTCTGAAAAAAGTTGATTTGTACTCTAGATTGAAAACGTTACTTTCAACCTTGACCTTTTCTCGCTATTCAAGGTCATTGGCTATTCAAGGTCATTCTTTCCTGTCTACTCTGCAGAGTGAATCAGAAATTAGATTAAGCAATTTACCTCTAGAAATCTCTAGCAATAATGGTTAGATAATGATGGCCAATTATCTAGGAATAACAGCGTATTCAGACAATTATGTTCAAAATTTTCACATTAATACAGCAGGAAGACAATTTAATTATGCATTCAGTGTTTAGAAATGACAGAAATACTTAAAGCTAAAAATAGAAAAAAAGTTTTATCATTCATGTAAAGAAGGTCATAATACTTTAACGTGGGCAGCATCCTTCTTGCAAGCTTGGCTAATAGATATTATAAGATACTTATGATACAGTGCATTAAATTTTGATTGGAATTAACAGGTAACTGCACTAAGGTGACAATGTGATACTTACTTTATGATAATCTCTGTATGAACACATCTGCTCATTATTCTTAATGAAAAATTTCACCATTTTCATGTTTAGATGTTGAATTCTGCTTAGGGGCATGGAGAATAGCTGGCACTTTTCCAGTACCATCCATGAACAGGCTCAATCAAACCAAACCAGCAACATATTTAATTTTAGGTGTTCTTTAAAGTTTCTGTTTTTCTATATTTTATTACCTACATATGTGAAGAGCAACTTTTATGTTCTTAAAATGGATTTGACTTTTTGATTCAGCTAAATTGTACATGTACATGGAAAATGGAGAATGCTTTTCTTCTGTTAACTGGTATTGTAAATAACTTCAATTTTCAATTTGTTCAATAGGTCACACTGGTGGGGTGTTAGTTATCAAAAATTCAGAAGTGTTGAACCAGACTACAAGTCGCCCCAGTAACCAGTCAAAGTCATGGCAACAACAGAGACAGGGAGCAGTTAGTGCGTTATCATGGCAACAACAACAGCAACAACAACAACAATCTAAACAACAGACAGAGAAAACAGGATGGCCAAATTTACAGTTGAGCATTTAGTTCAATTAAGAAATGAGCTGCGTCATGACAAAACTAACATAATGGGTTTGCGACAGCATGGATCCAGACCAGCCTGCGCATCCGCACAGTCTGATCAGGATCCATGCTGTTCGCTTACAAACCCTATAACAAGCAGAGAAACTGATAGCAAACAGTATGGATCCTGATCAGATTACGTTGGTTTTGTCATGACGCGGCTCAAATATGAATTACTTGAATATATACTAAATAACGGAAAAGAATTTTTTTCAATAGAATATTGCTTTCTCAAAGTATTTCAGGGCACAAAACTTATTTTAATTTTCATCTACTTGTATTTTTTATTAAAAGACAATGTAGTATTCATGTGGTTTTATTAAGTAAGAGAATTTATACGGTAAAAAATAAATTTTTCTTTTGTATTTGCTATATAATTTTATTGGCCGGGTTGCACAGGTGCAAACCCGGGTTATAGTATGGTGAATGTCGGGCGGGCGGTGGCGGCGGGCGGGCGGGGAAAAATTTTTCGTAACAGTTTTCTCAGCAACTTCTTATCACAGCCTATTGATATTTGGTATACAGCATTGACACATGGTCTTATACCGTGGGATTCGATTTCAGGTCTGTCGCTCATCCACTTCCTGTCTATCCACTTAGTTAAATTAGTTAGATTTTTCAACATCAATGGTAGGAAATTTTCGTAACAGTTTTCTCAGCAACTACTTATCACAGCCTCTTTGATATTTGGCATACAGCATTGATACATGGTCCCATACTGTGGGATTCGATTTCAGGTCTGTCGCTCATCACTTCCTGTTTATCCACTTAGTTAAATTAGTTACATTTTTCGACATTAATGGTCAATGGTAGGAAATTTTCGTAACAGTTTTCACAGCAACTACTTATCACAGCCTCTTGATATTTGGCATACAGCATTGACACATGGTCCCATACTGTGGGATTTGATTTCAGGTCTGTCGCTCATCCACTTCCTTCCTGTTTATCCACTTAGTTAAATTAGTTAGATTTTTTGACATTAATGATCAATGGTAGTAAATTTTCGTAACAGTTTTCTCAGCAACTACTTATCACAGCCTCTTGATATTTGGCATGCAGCGTTGACACATGGTCCCATACTGTGGGATTCGATTTCAAGTCTGCAGCTCATCCACTTCCTGTTCACATTAATGGTCAATGGTAGGAAATTTTCGTAACATTTTTCTCAGAAACTACTAATCACAGCCTCTTGATATTTGGCATACAGCATTGACACATGGTCCCATACTGTGGGAATAGATTTTAGGTGTGTAGCTAATCCACTTCCTGTTTACCTACTGAATTAAATTTTCGACATTAATGGGTCAATGGAAATTTTTTTTCGTAACATCACAGCCTCATGATATTTGGTGTACAAATGCAACCCGGCCTTTTCTGTCTTTGACCCATTTTTTTTGTATTTGAAGTTCATGGGGATTGAAATTTGCTAGAGAAACTAAAAACTTCCTATGTGTGTTTTTGTTTTGTTTTTAATCCTTTGTGTTTTTTGTTTTTTTTTTCATTATAACAGCCACAATCTCAGGTTCCAGGTCAACAAAGTCAGCCATCGTCATGGCAACAACAGAATGTACCAGCACGACCCCAGTTGTCACCTCAACCAGGTCAAGGACAGTGGCAATTTCCTGGCCAGCCACCAAATTTTAGGTAAAACATAAAGATTTTAATACATGTACTTTTTTCAACCACATTCGCAAATGACCAATACTGGATTTCAATAATTGCTTTATTACTTTGAATGCAGTTTAAAAAAAAAAAAAACATAGTAAGTTTTGTAAGTAAAAGAGAAAACAAAACAAAACAGAATTTAGATGTGGCAAAATGATAGTCTATTTTTGTGAGAATTTGATATAAAAATTGAGAATGTTTTTCCTCTTTACTTTAATCAAACTGTTGAATTTAATGCCACACTTTCAAAGCCTTTGACATAAAGTTATTTTTGTATGTGTATTTTATAGAGCAAGGAGCCCTATGAGTCTACAAATGGGAAACAGGATGCCCGGTCAAAACTCCAACTCTACTGTCCAATCACCTCAAGGTGCTTTCTTTTCTGCTGCTCAGTCTAGGCCAACATTCCCAATGGGGCAGTCTACTCCACAGAGTCAGGGTCAAGGCCCTTTTGGAAATGAGGCTGTTTTTAAAGGTTCTAGTGGTATGATGTTTAACAGACAACCAGATTCAAACCAAGGTGTACCAACTTCGATGCAGAACTCTTCCCCAACAGATCGGTTCTCTTCACCTCATCAAGGTTCCGGAGAAGGACCCAGTCTACCGTTTGGTCCTAATTTTGCTTCAATGTTCCGTCATCCGCCTCCTAGCAGGTTTCCCCCGCCTCCAAATTTCCAGACTCCACCCCCTGATCACAATTTACCGTCTAGCCAAGGTCAGAATGTGTCTGGTGAAAGTCATCTGACTCGGTCAAGTGGAATGGGTGGACCAAATTCATTTCCTGGAAGTCAGTCAATACCACATGGCAATCCATCTAACTTTTCCCATGCTCCAGGGACTGAACGACCTCAAGGAGATAGAGGGTCAGGGCCACATTCAATGATGCCCAATATGCAGATGCCATATACACAGGTAAATTTTATACTTTTGTAATTTTACAGTTCATTTTTTTTTATGGAAAAGGTATTTAAAAGATCTAAAAGCTTTTATACATGATAAATCTTTTTTACTAAACCTCATGGTATTAACTTAAAAATATTAGAAGAACTAATTTTTTCTGTATCTCCTTTATTTAATTGAATTTTAAATTTTTTTCTTTTTGTTTTCCTAACAGAGTGTAACTGATTACTTTAAATTGTTTATAAAATCAACAATTAATTAAAATTTTCTCTTTATATCACTCAGAATCAGTTCATGAACCCATTTCAAAATTTCATGGGTTTTCCTGGTATGTCGAACAACCAAATGAAGTCACCGCTTGAGGCATTGTTCGGTAAACCACGGTTTCCACAAGAGGATATTCCACCAAACATGGCTGACATCATTGGAACTCTCAGTAAAATGGCCGTACAGGTATAACATTTACTTTTAGAAATCTTTTATGAGTATTAGTGTGAAGTATGATCATTTTTAGATGTAACAGTAAGATACAAATGCATCAGAAGGGATCCAGACATGGCTGGGATTTGAACTCATGAGGTCCCACTTGCTTGCAAAAATTGGCTAAAATTGGCATAAAATCAAACAAACAAATTTCAGACCATAAATCAAATTTTCATAGTATTACAATGAACGCAATTATTTTACAGTAACCTTATACAAAATGTAATAATTTAGCAATGAAATAAAGGATGTGTGTTTATTTATTTTTATTTTCAGCCTCCAAGAGAAAATGTGTTACCACCACAGCGAGTTGGACCTTCCAGTTTCCAAGGTCATGCAGAGGTAAAACAAATTGACACACAATAATATTGTTTGACATTGAATCTAAAGATGAAGTTAATATTACCCATATTACTAGATAATAGATGATGTAAGAAACAAAGTCCCGTTTTACACTTCTAATCCGGGGAGTACGATCTTTAACTGAGACAACTTCAAGGTGCACTTCTGTTCAAATAAGGGTGATATATTTACCAAGATATAATTGCAAAAATTTGTTTGTACTCTGATATTAGATGTAAAACCTATATTTCCCAACATCCGAGGTGTCATTTTTAAGTTGAATTTCCAAAAAAAAAGAAAAATACTATATTTATCTTCAAATTTTTTATCTTTTGAATTAATTATTCTTTTAATAGATTTTATCTATCAGGTCAGTGATATTGTTCATCACTTGAGTTGTTGTTGTTTTTTCAGGGTACACCAAAGCCGGAGAGTTATTACACTTCACAAAGGAGGTGAGACAATAATCATTATCATACAAGTATCAAATTATCACTCGCATTTGATAATAAGCTTTTTTTAGTTTTTTGTAATGATTTTACTTTATGTAAATTTCAATACAAATTTGAATAAACAAACAAAATTGTTGTAATACAGAGAATATTATACAAATTGTGGATGAGGGCAAAGGCACCATCCGGTTAGCTCATTAGGTAGAACGTTGGACTGTGAATAGGGGATATGGGTTTCGATTCTCGGATAGTGCAGGTCACTTACTTTGTGATTGATCATCAAATCCTTGCACTGTACCTCTGCTCTGACATGTACAGATGTTATCAGTTCCTTGCAAAAGTTAAGGCATCTAGTACCGGTAACCTGCTTGACAGCCTGCCCTGAAACAATGCGTTGGCTGAACTGTGCTCTGGTAAATTCAATATGGCTTACTGCCATGATCCGGAATGAAAACTACCAACAACAACACCACCAGAGTGTGGATAAATTCGTAACTGGGTTTAAGGCTTCTGTGAGAAAGTATCAAAGATATTTAAACTTGTCAGCACTGGTTTGTTGCAGGATGTAGACTCCTGATTGGTTATAGAACCTAGAAGCTTTGTTAACAAGTTTGAATTAATAATGTTGAAAAGGGTTGAATGTTCTCTATGGACTCGGGGGTACACAGAAATAATAAATACAGCTTTAAAAATTTGTTTGTGTGTTGTACATACCATTTCTTATAGCAAGCACTTTGTGACAATGCAGAATTTACTAAGTAATAGTTCAAGGAGGTCTCTAATAGTTCAAGGAGGTCTCTAGTAGTTCAAGGAGGTCTCTAGTAGTTCAAGGAGGTCTCTAGTAGTTCAAGGAGGTCTTTTATAGTTCAAGGAGGTCTCTAATAGTTCAAGGAGGTCTCTAACCTATTTACAGTATTTTACAATGCGTAAATTGATTGTTATCAAAACAAGCTTTTCAGAAGTCGTCTCACAATATTCAGAGAAGTTTATTTGAGTTGATTGTTTTGAGATAGCTCAGTGGGGGCAGACGATTGCATAGATGTTCCGACTGGCCTGGTTTCTGTACTGGAAGTCAAGTACAGTCAATATTACTCGTTAGCTTACAGGGTTTAAACTGATTTCTCTCTGAGTAAGCTGTCTACCTGGCCTTATATAGGATCATATGTCAGCATGTCCATCCTGACTGAGACTCAAACCCAGGACTCTTGGAATACCGTTCTGTGGCTCTACAGACTGACGTATTTGGCAGCTGACACATATCTAGGTTTTCATCTTCCACTAAAGCTAGAAAGTCACTATATGAGTTTAAACAGCTTTGATGTGACTTGAAACTCAACAAATGTATCTGACGTCTGCTTTATTTTTAAAATTGCACAGAATACCTGATATTTTACTATTTTTGTCCAGCTGACAATACTTATCTAAGACAAAGAGCATGACATCTCCTTCCCATTCCTTTATATATCATTGACAATCCTGTGTTATTATGCATGCAGTCAGGGATGGAATCTTTACGTTGAAGCTGGAGATTAAATTATCATACAAGGATGGTGATGTAGATTTTTAGAAATAATTTGTGTGTATATATATATAAATATATTTGGAAACAAATTTTGTGATATTGTTATTCCTTTTGAATCTTTTTTAAGGAATAGAAATTGTCATTGTTCTTTAAAAATAGAAAGGGACAGGTTGGTGAACAAGCCAAATGGAATTCCTTGTGTTTTTTTTATCAGATATTTCAAGTAAAACATTTCAATGCCTTTTAAGGAGGTGCATTGGGGTTGTAAAGCCTTAAAGCATTAAATTTGAAAATCTTGAAGGTATCAACTGGAACTCTTGAAAGGGAAAATTTTAAAATGATGATATTTTAAATAAAGGGAAAATATATAAAGAATATTTTAAAGAAATGTTCTAAAATTCAAATTGAAAATCGATTTTTAGGGCAATTCTAAGTCCAATTAAATACATTTATACATTTCCCATTTTCAGGTCATTATGTACAATAAAAAATATTATTCTAGAATAACAGAGTGAGGGAATGATCTGAAATTTTTGCACACAAATTATTGGCTTAGACCTACATTTAATATTGTAAAAAGCTTATCACGATATTTCCAGTCCTGTCATGTCAAAAAAAAAATCCCCATCTCAGTTGAGTACCTTTAATTTACACTCATGTTCATTTTCATTGAGTGTTCAAGCCTAACAAACGTCTGACTTTGTGTATGTGTTATTTCAGCTCGTCTGTACCTGCTGTCAACATTGACATAGAGGCTAAACCTGTTGACAGTGTCACCAACATATCTTTACCACAGCCTCAACAACAGCAGCAACAACAACAACAACCCCCTGGAACATACTCCTTGTTCAGTGGCTCCCCCTGGCTGTCATCCGGAGATTCGAAAAGTATGTATACGATGTTTACAATTTTACTGTTACAGCAAAACTGAATGTCTATTTCAAATTTATGTCTGATATCAAGTAAACATCAGATAACAAACTTTTATCAGATGCAGAATGAAAGATATAACAGTTCTTAATTTCCAAGAATGATCAAGAGGCTATCTAATAGCGGAAATAAACAATTTTATGACATGATAATATTATATGTAAGATAAACATGAATTAATTTACAAATGTATATGTAAATCTACAAATCTAGATGGTTGCACTGATTTTTAGAACAACAAAAGTAAAGAAGATTCTTAAAATATTTTGATTTCAAACACTCCATGGTGGAGTGGTTAACACACCGGAATAGAAATCTTATGATCGCTAGCCACATGTGTTCAAACCCCGTCAGGGTCAAATCATTCTTTCCTTGTGCAAGAAACTACGCTCATTTCTCAGTACTGGCTGGTTCCAGGAACGGATTCGGAAGTGTGTCTATAAGCTTATAGCTTCCTACACTATCAAACTAAAATAAATTCTGTATAAACCAAAGATTCCATAGTGAGGTATGAAAATGAGTTATTACCTGGTATTCTCAGTAAGAGATGTATTGTGAGTGATATTTGGCATATCTCACTGATGTATTATTCTGTGATATCTCATTGATAAGAATGAAATATAAGATAATACCTCAGTTTGTTTTCTGATTTCAATCAAATGTACAACAAGTTTTAAGATTCTTGATGTTTATTGATATTTACATTGAAGAAAGATTGATCCATGAATTTTGTAGGACATACCTTGAATTACGCTCCATTGATTTTAGCATTTGCAGGGGTGTTATAATTGGGATGTGTTTGTATGCCTTAATGCTTTAAAACAAAATAATATATCAAATTACAGAAAAAGAGAATCCCTACCCAAAACAGCAAAATTGAAAATATTGCTGGCAATTGAAAATGTTGCAGACTCGTTTTGATTGAGTCTGTTCATGGAGGTACTAGAAAGTGCAAGCTTATGTCCACACCCTCTAGCACTGGCTTTAGCAGTATTCAACATTTATACATGAAAGTGGTGACATTTTGAATTTAGAAACAATTCCAGATATGTTCATAGGGAAGATATCATGGAACCTTCAAAATTTTTCAGGACCATTTTGTCACATATTTAACTTATTTAACAATATTATCAGTTTCACTAGTGACGGTGTTGTTTGTATGGCAATTATGATGGTGATATAGTTATTAGTTTTTTACATGATGTATATTTGTGTATATTATTCCAAGTCTAGGGTGATATAGTTATTACATGATATATATTTGTGTATATATTCTAGGTCTAGGGTCATCCCCTTTCTCTTCAGAATCCAGCAGTATGCGTAATTCTCCAGATCCTGTCACAGAAAATTACGGAGGGGATGCTAAGTCAGGCGGACAAGGGATGGATATGGGTCTGAGATTTGGGGACGAGAGGAACATTAAGCAAATGGAACAGGCACCACAGGGGCCGTACTTCCAGAATAACGTCCAGGTATCATAGACTTATTTCTCTTTTGTGTTTCTTCTATGGGTTTGAATCTTGCCAATGACTGCAGATTCTTTCGTGTGAGAAAACCATCCAGCTATTTATAGAATTTATACAATATTAGGTATTTTATTGCAGGGTTTTCATAATTAACAGATTTGTGATCCATATCATTGGTTGAAATGCTGTTAAAATCAGTTGTATTTTCAGCCAGTGGATAAGAACTACCATAACCCTTAGGCACATTGGTTGTTTTCATGGGCAGATTTGTTGCCTCAGATAAAAATGAAAACCCTGAGACTATTCAGGTGGTGAGCTGGAAATATTGCACTGAGGGGCACATGAGGTATTGATCCACTAGTTAGTAAGCTAGAAAGTCGCCATAATTATCACATTTTCTGTGCGTGATTTTAAAATAGCCCAAAAAGCAGGTAGTTGGTTAGAGGCAATGCTCTTTCTGTTTATTTAAATATCTGTTAGTCTGGAGTTGGCTGTAGAAATCATCAAAAAGTAAAGAGCAACACCCTTTGGAAGTCAAATATTTTATTTGTTAGTGAGGTGTGTTAAGTCAATATTGTGAAGCCTTTCTTTTTGAAGAATTGATAGTGTCGTTGCATAGAGGTTATTGCAGTAAATAAGATGCACTGTGGTTTCTTAATATGTAAACAAAATTTTTTTTTCAGTCAATCTGGTCGAATTCAGCCCAGTCACCGTTAGAACGTTTACTTGAACTTCAAAAACAACAGAGGCAGACAGAACCACATTGAAAAAAGCACATGGCAAAACTTGTGGGTTCTTCTCTTTGAAAATCAAGGGCTTTGTTACCTTGACAACCAAATAATAGGGGTTTACATGTGTAAACTCATGGTGTTGGAAAATAAAAAAAAGATAGGAAAAAATAGTTCCGTCAACAGAACAAATTATGGAAAATAAAAAGGAGTAATTATTCCTGAGAAAAAAAAATGGGAAAAGAAGGATACTGTAGATACTAAAATAACAGTACACATAGATAAAAATGTATGTGGGACATAAATAAAGGATGAGAACAAAATGAATGCAGTAGAAAACTCATTCCTGTGTGTGAAAAGAAATACAAAGTATGCGTGTATTTGCAGACGTAAAATTCTATGAAATTTACAGCCATAAAATATGCGTTCATTTGCAGACGTGAAATTTTGCTGGAAAATGCGTGAATTGTATGTAAAGTGAACACAAACTGTGATAAAAGATACACATACATGTATATATTACATTGTGTCCCACATATTGAACCCGTTGAGGGTGGTATTTTCATACATATGCTTGTTTTTTATATGTTTCCATTTTGGGAGTGATAAACTTTTCGTCAGAGTGAATTTTTAGAGGATTGTTGACTAGTAGTGAAACATAGTAAAAACAATATATTCTTGTTTTAACATCACTTGTTTTGTGTTCTTGTGTATTTAGATTTAAAAAAAAGACGTACACATTGTAGACAAATATTATTTTGTTTATGCGCTGATTTTGTAAGGTTGCTATAATCACATGTGAGGGGAAAATAATCTTAACACTTTGTAACTTACCGTAAATGATATAAAATGTGGTATTTTTTAAACAGTATGTGCCGTTATTTTTACAGATGTCAGGAAGTTTATCGAGAGCAAGTACGGTAACTTTGTGCGAGCAAGTACGGTAACTTTGTGCGAGTATGTTTTGATAGGTCCTGAAATGATATCCTAATTGTTGTTATCGTTTTTGATTAACTTGTTTTTTCGTTACAAAGATCAGAAATTTATTTTTCACATATTCATTGTATATTACTCATAATTATTCTAGATTTGCGGAATATTGAAAGTGTTTTTGGTTTTTTTTTAGCTTATTTTTTTTTCTCATTTTTTATCAGTTCATGGCATGGTTTGGTAATGCATTATATACGCATGCATTAAGGAGTATTTTAAGTTATATGTATCATATATGAATGTTTGGGATGTCCTTAGTTTGAAGTTTTAAATCAGCAAAAAACTTTAAAACAATCTTTGTTTTTTTACTGAATGGTTTGAATTAAAAATAAAAACACACCTCATTGAAATGATACAACTACAGCTGGGTCACTGGATGTCAAAACTGCATTCCTTTCTACATTTGCTGACTTTCCCTTCAAGATTGTATGCAAGTATGCTAATTAATCAAAGTTGTAAGGTTACTTATTTCATTTAAAAAAAAAATCACAAAAAAAATTTGACCATTTCTTTACAAAAAGTCAATCACATACTTTTGTAGGAGCATTTGCTCTGTCACAAGAGTTGAAATTTCTAGATTTATGTAACTTTTGGTCTAATGCTATGATAAATGATCATAAGTTTAGCTTATAGAAATGTATTTACAATTATTTTGGCTCAGTTAAACAAAAACACATTGAGGACCTTTTAACACATTGAGGACCTCTGAAACACATTTAGGACCATTAAAACATATTTAGGACTTTGGAAACACATTGAGGACTTCTTTAAACACATTGACAACTTCTGAAATATATTAAGGACTTCTTTAAACACATTGAGGACTTCTTAAAAGACATTGAGGACTTCTTAAAACACATTTAGGACCTTAAAAACACCTTGAGGACTTCTTAAAATGCATTGAGGACCCCTTTAAACACATTGAGGACTTCTTAAAATGCATTGAGGACCTCTAAAAACACATACTATAACATTTGATAATAGAATGCATCTATCATCTCTCTTTACAGTAAAATATAATTCATATATTCACTATGCTTCACAGCCTACATGATAATTTTAACAACACTGACTACTTTTTATGTTGATGAATAAGTAGTATATTAAAGGTTACACTGAACTTACACTGACCCATGCACTAGTTATTTCAATGCTTGTCTTTTGATAAAAAGTAATTACATTGACTAGTTTTGTTGTATAACAGTTATTTATCAATGTTTACAGAAACACAGACATTTACCACAAAAATTACATTTATTTTACCACAGTTACTACATTTTATTACATTTACTATAGAGACTAATACATTTTAAGACATAATTATAGTAAATTAACTAATTTATTTTTTGGTCTGAGTGAAAAGATATGTAATTATATTGTAAAAAATTAGGTTAAACAAGAAAATCTAGTAATTTCTAGAAGAAAATTTCTTATTTCTAAATGCTGAAGTATAGTTACTTCGATGTTAAAGATATTGAAGAATTTCCCAGCTGATTTGTGACTACAAAAAAAAACAACTTACAGTTACAACTGCAAAGATATGTGCAACTTGACAATAACTCTTATGTAAGATAGTGCACGGTGAAACTATAACAGTAAAAGTTATTTTGTATCCAGGGAAAAACATATTTGATGACTCCCAGATAACATTTATTCTTTACATTACAGCTGAAAAATGTTGTTAAAAAAATCTTTTGATTACTCTTGGCATAATTATACTGGTTAGTTAATAACATCATTGAAATTTAGATATTGAATGATATTTTTTTTTTTAAATTCAGTTATCAAAATAAAAGAATAATATTATCTGGACTGTTTTGTTGACTGCTTATTTTCCATCTGATAGTCAGTTACACTGTATCCCATAGCACCTTCATTTATTGACTGATATTAACTGTTAATCAAGGTCAAGGTCACCAAAGATAAAAATAGATTTTCCAACTGCCTCAAAGTAACGCCATGTTATTTTTGCTTTATTAAAGCCACTATTTATCCTATCAATACTTTTTCTTTTTTCTGTTTTATTTTTGGAATTGTTCACACATCTCATTAACATCAATTGGACACTGTATCTAAACCCCAATGTATTTGTTACAATTAAAGAATCTTACATTTATATGACCCTACGAGTAAAATTTCTTGACCATTATTAATTGTTTGATTGAATAATGATGTTTCTTCATCCACAAATTTTATGTTAGCTTAGAACACAGTTCTTATTGTCAGGCGTTTTCTCTGTACTTTGAACTTTGAAATTTGTAAAGGTAAAACTTAAAATTAGTTGTTTGAAATTAATAGATTATTTAAATTGTACATCTTTATCAAGATGAGGTGTGTTTGATTTTTGTTTCCACACTACAGCAGAATTTAAATTAAATGGCTTCACAGATATGTAGAACTTGATTTGTTTATTTTTCTCATAGAGATGCATTTCTATTGAATAAACTTAGTGAAATACCGAATTATTACTCTATATTTGTTGTTCTTTATTCATTTCATTTTTAAAGGGGTGTTCGTGGCCGTGTGGATTACTTCAAACCATTTGCTCTTCACTGATGATGGTTCAAATCCCACAAGGGACTTTGGATTTTTTCATGTAAGGAAGCTAGCTAATAGAACATTGGTACTAGTACCTGAGGTCTTCCTCCAACAGAAAAGCTGGAAAGTTGCCATATGACTTCTACTGTGTTGGTGCAATGTAAAAAACAACATCAAAATTTACCTTGACCATTTGAAAGAGTTTTTTTTTCTATAAATTTTTTGCCAACAAATCATTTCTTAGTTTTCTATGTTGCTAATCAAAATGTCATTTATTTTTTTATTGATCAAACCTAATGACATTGTAATGTCCCCTAACTCTAGCTTGTATAAAAATAAAGTTATGGCCCTTGTAAAACAGAAAATTCAGGCAGCTTAAAAATTTAGTAGGCAAATCCTATCTCTAAAACTAATGAAGGAGTCATACAAAACATCACACCTGTTTTCAAGGTCATAATAAAAGTTTTGATACTTCTGTGACCTTGAAATGTATAATAAACAGATTGATTTTATGTAAAAGGAGATTATTTTTAATCAAACATCATATTATTACAAGGTAAAATTGTCTGGGAAATTGTAGGAATTAAAATAATTAATTGAAGGAAAAGTCTGAATTTTTTTTTTTTATAAATTATTTATGGATGCCAAACAAAAACCTTTTTCATTAAGGAAATTGACAAAGTTATATAAATAAAATGATTTATTTGTTACCTTGGGACAGATATGTACCTAAGTCAAATTTCAGAAAAATTCAGATCAGTTTCTCTAAGTATATTACATGTATATTAATGCATGTATTAAAATTCCGAAGACTGGTATACCTGTAGACAAAAAGAATACGTAAATGTAAGTTGTATGATTTTGTATACATATTTTGCCACATAAAGATCATTGAAAAAGTCTGTATACCAAAAAATGTTGGAAAATCCACATGTACTTCAGAATAGGGATAGGGGGCTATCTAACTGTAAACAGAGCAAAAGAGAACAATAGTGTTCATTCCGTAACATTTTATAGAGGTAGATGGCCAATGACCGTCTTTTAAACAAAAGAAAAAAACAATAAAAATGGCCCTTCATCCCAATTTGGTCGCATGCATAGTATCATGATAATGTTATAATAAGTCACGTATAAAATGGGAGTAAATGGTTCAAAGTCTTTTGGAATTGAAAGTAACATGTGATTTTTGAGCACATGTTGAACATCACACCACAAAGTTATAAATAAAATGATTTATTTGTTACCTTGGGGAGAGATATGTAAGTCAAATTTCAGAAAAATTCAGATCAGTTTCTCTAAGTATGTTACATGTATATTAATACTAAAATTACAAAGACTGTTATACTTATAGACAAATAGAATACGTAAATGTAAGTTGTATGATTTTGTATACATATTTTGCCACATAAAGATCATTGAAAAAGTCTGTATACCAAAAAATGTTGGAAAATCCACATGTACTTCAGAATAGGGATAGGGGGCTATCTAACTGTAAACAGAGCAAAAGAGAACAATAGTGTTCATTCCGTAACATTTTATAGAGGTAGATGCCCACTAGATGGCCATTGACCGTCTGTTAAACAAAAGAAAAAAACAATAAAAATGGCCCTTCATCCCAATTTGGTCGCATGCATAGTATCATGATAATGTTATAATAAGTCACGTATAAAATGGGAGTAAATGGTTCAAAGTCTTTTAGAATTGAACGTAACATGTGATTTTTGAGCACATGTTGAATATCAGGCACATGATGACTATTTATAGATTTGTCAAAGTATTAATAATCACTCTTCAAGCTTATAATAGTGTAACATCCTATTATATTAATTACGGAGGATTTAATTACATTTCTAAAAATAAAACAAAATTTGAATTTTGAACCACCATGCTGTCTGCACTGGTTGCATGATAAGAAGTAATTACAATCATACCCCTAATAAGCTAACCTCCTTATAGTGAAATAATGTGTAATTATAAATGTGATAGCATGTCATAGAAAATCAGTACTTTTAATTAGTGATATTTGAAGAATACTGAAGTATAGGCTTTTCTCAGATTACTTTCAACTTTTTGTGCATGTTTGAAACATTATTCAATACTAGGATATACTTAATTGTATGAGGTTGATCATATCTGTTAAAAAAACTCTCACATGTCTTATATTAACTTGGAGGTCAGATGGTCAAAAAGTCCAGTTTACAAAGGTCTTTTCAAATGTTATCTGACCAATAACTAGAGATACAATTTCTTAAGATTTGGTGTTGTGATTGGCCCTGTAGATTACCACCCTTGATTCTGAGGTCAGTAAGACAAAGGTCAAGATCTGATCTTGT